TTGTGGGTGTGGGTGTGCGCGTGAGTGTGCATGTGAGTGTAGGTGTGGTGGGTGGGTGTGGGTGTACGTGTGGGGGTGCGTGTGGTGTGGGTCTGCGTTTGCGTGTGCGTGCGGGTGCGGGTGTGGGTGTAGGTGCGGTGGGTGGGTGTGGGTGTACGTGTGGGGGTGCGTGTGTGGGTGTAGGTGTAGGTGTAGGTGTGATGGGTTGGTGGGAGTGGGGGTGTAGCAGAAGAAGAGTAGTGTACCTACACCACAGATCCACACCCCATCAAATCTACCTTTGAGGATAGAAATTGAATTCTCTTGTTCAAAATGATTCAGACTAATCTGGACTAATTATGGGTGTGGGGTATGCGTGTGTGTGTGTGTGTGTGGGTGTGGGTGTGGGTGTGGGTGTGGGTGTGGTGTGTGGGGGGGGGGGTGTGTGGGTGTGGGTGTGGGCGTTGGTGGATGTGGGTGTTCACGAATAGTGTACTCACACTCACAGTCTCACCAACATTCACACCCACATCTCATCCACGCACACCCACATCCACCCCACATCCACAACCAACACACACCCACACGCACATCCACATCCACACTCATACCCTCACCCAGACCCGCACTCCCACCCACCCCCACACCCACATCCACACTCACCACACCCACACCCACACCCACACCCTTTCCAATCTAAATGGCGAAAATGGCGCACTCATATTAATTTCAGCAAAAACGCAAAAGGTTACATGTCATTTATATGTCTTTATTCAAGAGAAAGATCATTCAAAATGTTGCACTGAAGTTCTTTTCCATCACCAGCATGAAACCTGTTATCGTAGAGATCTTTCCACTCACCTTCGTGCAGGAAGTACCTTGCAAGTCTCTCACCCCTATAAATTTGAATAAATGAAATTTAATCTTTTCCTTTTTTTCTAAAATAACACGAATGCGGCATTTCCTTATTTATTAGCAAAGTGATAGCAGTCAGTTTGATCTTCATTTATATTATTAGTTGAACTAGGCAACTCATGTGCTTTCAATAGAAAAAGAGAGACGAAGCAGACACTGGGAGATCTTATGTGTAAGAGAGGGATCAATTGACGAAGGGAGGCACACATGGAAGGTAACGATGGTTTCTACCTTTTTTGAATATGCGCAGGTAAAATATGCTGTCCTTCTTTTTTCACATTTCTTGACACATGTGAATAAGTAAGTAGTAAACAAGTGCACTACCAAAAGCTTACCTATTAGGAGTGAAATTAAGAACAGCAAACAACCGACCATGCTTCGTTGCGTTTACCGGCTATAGAACAAAATCTGTCATACGTATCTACATTGATTGAGTAGACAACAGGCAGGCAGAAAAAAAACGAAAAAATATTTTTCTCCCGTCCGCTTGTAATGAAGACAGGTATCTTTTACTCTAATAGTCTACGCTTTCTTTCTTCGCGGCATTCACAAGTGAAAACAGTGATAGCTTGATATTGATTCTTGCTAGAAGTTGTGTAAAAATTCTGAGCAACACAGGATTACAGGCAAACTGAGCACCTATAATTATAACTGGATATATTGGCACTAGCTTGGAATAAACAAGAGCTTGCATACAATTTCATAGTTAGGTAATCGATTAAAAGCAATAGTATGGATGTGAAGGAATCAAAAGAAATCAAACCGGCAGCAGCTGATCTAAACGATATCCAGCTAACGCGGAGATTTTGTCGAACTGTTATAGTTGTATGGCTGGACACTGGCATTGATCAAAAGAAGATGGAGCATTCATCTGTTGCGTCACTCCTGCAACATTTCATCGGCAACCTTTTAAGCTTCTCACAGATCGATGAATGCATCGACTTTCTTACTGATATGAATCGTCAAAAAGCCTTTCTTATAACTACGGTTTCGATAGGTGAGCAACTAATACCTTTGATTAATGCTGTTCCAGGACTAGCTAATATATATCTGATAAACGACTCCAAGACAATACATGATGACTGGACCAAGACTTGGGAAAAGGTTCAATGCGTTAATACAGACACAACGAATCTCTTTCAACTACTACAATCCGATATAAGACAGAGTGACCGAAACGATATTTCACTAAGCATTCTCGCTGCCGACGAAGATGGTTCCTCCATCGATCTTGATCGCATTGATCCGACATTCATGTATGCTCAGTTATTCAAGGAAATTGTGCTTGAGATAAATGAGGATGAACAATCTATAGAACCATTCGTTCGATTGTGGCGATCAAGCTCCGCCGATAATGAAGCTGTGTTGAACACTATGGATCAATTTAAACAGGAGTATCGACCAGAAACATCCATTTGGTGGTACACTAAAGAAAGTTTTATCTTCGAGAGTCTGAACTACTCTCTGAGATCCTTGGACACCAAAGTCATGATGACAATGGGTTTCTTCATTCGGAATCTTCATCGACAAATTGTAAAATTACACCAGCAACAGTATCATAACTGCAATGATGTACCGTTTCTAGTTTATCGCGGACAAGGCTTATCAATAGTTGATTTCGACAAACTTCGTCGAAACAAGGAAGGTTTGATAACATTCAACAACTTTCTGTCTACGAGTAAACAGCGAAACATTGCCTTTCTCTTCGCCGAATCTTCCTCAATAACACATGGCATGATAGGCATCATTTTCGAGATTTGCATTAATCCTAATATGCAAACGACTGCATTTGCCAATATCGCAGAAATTAGCAATTTTGGAAATGAAGAAGAAATACTTTTTTCTATGAACACTGTTTTTCAAGTTGGTTCTATCAATCAAGCAGAAAACCGCGAAAAAATATGGGAAGTAAGGCTTATTCTGACCGATGATAATGATCCACAACTGATCAATCTTACAAAGAGAATGCGAGAGGAAACTAAAGGTCCAAATGGATGGTTTAGAATGGCCCAATTAATGACTACGTTATGTGACTTTAGTCAAGCAGAGCAACTATATAATGAACTACTCAAGGATATATCCAGCGACAGTGGTCGAGCACATATACACCATCAGCTTGGACACTTGAAAGATGAACAAGGCGAATATCAAAAAGCAGTGCAATATTATGAGAAATCCCTTGAAATTAAGCAAAAAACTCTTCCAGATGATCATATCTCATTAGCCACTACATATCATCAACTTGGTCTCGCCTATCAGAACATGGGTGACCATTCAAAAGCACTTAAGTATTATGAAAAATCACTTGAAATCAACGAGAAAACTCGGTCTTCAAATGATCCTAGTTTGGCTGCCTCCTATAACAACGTCGGTTTATTGTATAAAAATATGAGTGACTACTCAACAGCACTTATATATTACGAAAAAGCGCTTCAAATCTACCAAAAAGCACTGCCTTCAAATCATCCTTTGCTGGGTACTTCCTACAACAACATCGGTTTGGTGTATAGCAATATAAGTGACTATACAAAAGCACTTGAATATTACGAAAAAGCGCAGAAAATCTACAAGCAATCTCTGCCTTCAAATCATCCCGTACTGGCCACTTCGTATAGCAACATTGGTTCGACACATAAACATTTGGGTGACTACTCGAAGACACTTCAATATTATAATAAATCACTGAAAATCTACGAAAAGTCTTTACATCCGAATCACCCGTCGTTGGCCACTTCGTACAACAACATCGGTGCAGTGTATGACAGCATGGGAGACTACTCGAAAGCACTTGAATATTACGAAAAAGTACTTGAAATCGATAAGAAAACTTTACCTCCGAATCATCCCTCGTTGGCCACTTCGTACAGCAACATCGGTTTGGTTTGTAATAACATGAGTGAC